CGGGCGATTCCTTCTAGTGACCAATCGGATTGCAGCTCAACACTTAACCACACCACAGCGTGGCTCCGTTAAGTTTCCCTAGGGCACTGAAAACCCAGTAGTTACAGATTAGTGCAACTTGAATTCCAAACTAGAAATAAAGGTTAACACTTTAGAATGCATGTGATTGGAGGTCTACCCTACATTAACTCCTGGCAAATTGAGTCGAGTGTGACTCGTAGTGATGCCCCCGGACAGAGTAGAGCTGCCCCGCAGGGCTTCTGAGGCTGTAACTGTCACAGAGTAGTTTGGCAGGTCTCTCCTCCTTTAGGCCACTGATGGCTTTGAACCACAAAGCTCTCAGTTAGCAGGGGAGCACTTTAACCACTGTGCCACCCAGCCGCCTAAAACAAACACACTCTGTCACGGAATCTATGCTGACTTATGGTGACCCTACAGGACAGGGCAGAATTGCCCCTGTTGGTTTTCAAGACCGTAGCTCTTTACAGGAGTAGGAAACCCCATCTTTCTCCCAAGGAACGGTTGGTGGTTTAGAACTGCTGACCCTGCAATTAGCAGCTTTACTAGTAACCACTGTGCCATCGGGGCTCCTGTAGATGCAATGAATCATCACAAAAGATTGCGTTGGAACAGTTTCTTTGCCGGCAGACATGCTTACACCTGGTTTAATATTTCTTAATATTTGCGTCTCGGCCTTCAGAGACAGGGCCAGGCTCAGTATAAGCATGGGGACTAGTAATACCAAAATTTCAAAGTCTTTGTCTTGCTTTATATAAACAACCTATGTCCACGAGAATATACATTCTTCATGAGGTAGACGACTACTCTCAGAGGGCTACACCTGTGTTTTATTCATTCTTGTTTTCCTAAGAGATGTTTGACATGTGGAACCAGCTCAATAGTATGACGTGGATAAAGAGGTAAATGAATAGCACTCAGCCTCTGGAAAAAACAGCTTTTGTCTCTTTCCCTCATGCTATTTTTACCTTCCAATTAGTTATGAAATATGTAGGGAGAGAGACAAAAATTTGCATGCTGTTGATCCAGTAGAAATTCCTTCAGTGAGTTTAGAATGGGGTCCTTACCATCATTTTTTTTTAATGCAAGTTACACAAGGGTCTTCTTTAAGCCTGTGAAATCAAAGACTTCAATTTGGAAACAATTACAAAAAATTAACCCTAGACTTTGCTCTTATCCTTTTTGAGTATTCCTTCTTTTATTTTGAAGTTTTAGACCAGATCACATGGCTAAGTGACATGCTTCCAATAACTGTTCGTAGCCCACAGACCAACCAAGCTCACTGCCATTGAGTTCATCCTTACTTGTAGTGATCCTGTGTAGGGTTCCTGAGACTGTAAATCTTCGCAGGACCAGACAGCATCATCTTTCTCCCAAGACAAACAAGTCTCTCTTCATTAGATTGAGGTGGCTTTCGTTACTGGAAGGGCCCCTGTGTAAGGCTTACTTAACTGATCACCATTTTTTGTTTATTTATTGTGTATCCTGTCGTCTTTTCTTGAGCTGTCATCTAATCAAATGTCTCCCTTAGATGTGTAGGCAATATAAGAAATTATAATAAGATGATTGTGAGGCATGGCTTACTTGTTTTTGTTTGCCCTTCCTGTAAGGTAGGGCCTTGGTCCTTCCCCTGTGATGGTTTCTTCTGTGTGAACATCTTGACAGTCCATAATCGTGAGACACAAACCAGGAACACCTTATAAGCTTATAAGCAAAAATGACTTAAATGTCTTTGGTGTTTAGTTTTGGTTTGACAAGGGAAAGCTGGCACTTTTTTAAAATTTGGAGTAAAAATAATCACAAATCATCATCCCTGTTTCTAAGTCTCTCCTAGAAGAAATCCCTATTTGAAATTCTGATAAATTTAACCTACTCAACTTATATCACTAGAATCCAAAGATTCTGAAAAGATTTTCTTGATCAGTGATGGATTTACCAGGTAAGCAAGATTAGCATGTGCTTATTGGTGCTTCCTCACCTAAGATGTAGGAATGATTCTACCCTTTCCCTTTTGTCACCATAGCAATGTGATGGGATCTATTTGAAAGGGTTTACTACAGATTAAGAAGCAAACACTAGTGAGCCCATGCTTTTGTTGCCTACTGGGTGTGTCTTCCCTGTCATGGAATTTTTAACTTGAACAAAGACTTTGATTCTATAGGAAAGTGCTATGGAATTAGGTGAGAGACAAATGCCAGTCATCTGTATATGCAAAATCTTTTATGTAAAAAACGGTAAACTTACTACCAATCAGTAAGTAAGCACAAGCAAGTCTTTGCTTTCTTTGCTTCTTAGGTTATCTAACACTGCTCTTGACAAATGTATGCATAGGATCAATTCTGCCCCCCCCCCCCCCTCCCCCACCCCACTGGAGCACCTCTGTACCAAGTTAATCTATTAGCATCATTTCATGTAACTAAGATAGAGGGTATTTTGAGATTTCCCTGTATCAAGGTCATTTCCATCCTCAAAACTAAAATACCTATGGGAATTGGGGGAGTCTCAAGGTGTTTGCACTAGATAAGTAAAACAAATAAAACATGGATTATCCACTTATTGTTTATTCAGGAGCAAAATAAATCCAGTTCCTAAATATTTTGCTACCTGCCTTCCCCTCATATTCATTATCTACCAAAGCTAGCATGTTTACAAGCAAACAAAATAGCAAGGAAGATAATCAATAACATATTAAGAATTGCATTTTCAGTAAGCTTGGGGAAATCAGTCTGCAGTTGGTAAATACGTTCTTGAATAGTGGTCAAATTCTCACTTGTAGATTTAAACTCAAGAAATATGAATAGAGACAAACTCTTCCTGGATTGTTTAAGACCTGAAGGCAGAGGATAGAAAGAAAACTTCTATTCCAGTGACATGGAAATATCCAAACACAAAAGGGTTAAAAAAATTAATGAACAATGGAATTCATGGAAAGCCTTTATTTCCACTTTATAAAATATCTTTATATCAATTAAACCTAGGCACCTAAGTTAAAACAGATGCCTGCTCCCATAACCTTAGCAGAAAATGTATGTACAAAATGTAATAAAACAAAAACTGTGGAATGTTTTCCCATCTTACCCTAACCTCTCAAGTCAAGGAAACACTAGATGCAATGAGAAGGAATAGCTGTCAGAATGTTTTCTTTACAAATGGTTTAAAGATGCTTTTAGCAATAAGTTTGGCTGAACCATTCTCATAGGGAAGGCATATAGATAGATGTTATTACAGGGGTACCCTGTACAAAGTAAGCACAAAGGAAGCCAGCTTTCCCAACCTTGAGCTTGACAAGGGTTCCCCAATCAAGCACTATCTATGGGGAGAAGCAGTGCCAGAGCTGAGTAAAGAGGCGAACTTGTGAAGAGAGGGTCTCAGGTTCTTGAGTAAAGAACCAAGCTCACTGCCATTAAATTGATTCCAGCTCATAAAATGGAGTCCCGGTGATGTTGGGGCCTGTGAGTTAGACTGCTAACCGTGAGGTCAGCATTTCAAAGACACTAGCCGCTCGTGAGGAGAAAGATGGAAGTTTTCCACCTCCATGAAGATTTACAGTCTCAGACACACACAGGGACTGTTCTACTCTGTCCTGTCGGGTCACTCTTAGGTTGCTTGAATACCTTAAAAACATTCCCCTCTTTGGGGTGCATCCCCTTATGGGTTCTTGTTTGTAAGCCATAGTCTGGTGCTCATGCTTGGTAGCTAGTGATTTGGGGAGGTGTTGATAAAAGAACTTAGGGAATTATTCACTCCTGCTAAAAAGATAACCTGCCAAGCTGAAATGTTATAGCAAGAAATATGGTTTGGATTCACATATGTTTCTACTTAGAGGGCACACAGGACTAGAAATATATGTGAATACAATTAATATAAAATAAAAATACAATTAATATAAAATAAAATAATGATTGACTATAAGTGGTATTCACATCTTAGGGTTGTTCTGGCAAAGCACCACATAAATGGGTGGTGGATAACAAACAGAACTTTGTGTTTTCTCAGCTCTGTAGACTAGGAGTCAGAATGTCAACTGTGTTGGGTCTTTCTGAGGGCTCTGATGGAATATCTGCTCCCTGCATCTCTACTTGCTTCTAGTGGATCACTCCATCCTCTGTCTCTGTCTTCATGAGGCCCTCTTCCCTTTGTGGGTACGTGTCTCTTCCTCTTTTGTAAGGTACCGCTGATACAGCATGAAGATCTGCCCCACTTCATTACAAACCCACCCTAATTAATAACGTTTTTCAAAGACCTTATTTCCTACAAGGTCACACTGCTAGGTTAGGGATCTGACATATCTTTGTGGGGTATGCAAGCCAACCTATGACATAAATGGAGATATGCTTTAAAAATATTCATTGCCTATTTGAAGGGAGTTGAAGTGTTCCATTGTGAGAAGGTCGAGAGTGAGCTTTCCAATACTGTGCTAAGTTGGCCTGAAATTAGACCTAGACTTTCCCAGGACATCCTTCTATTGGATCAACAGATTCTTTCCCATTGTTTGTAGAAGACTGGATGACCTTTCTTGCGCGATCATTAAGGTTATCTCAGTTGGTCTTCATGGCCATCAATAGGTCGCCAGTTACCTTACAGCACATCAGTTGCTTCTGGCCAACTGATGACGACCAGCGCAGGTTGTAGCTGTCTACGTTCTACTCCAGTACAGGAATTAAACAGAGTAAGTCAAACTTCAGGGCTAGAGGTTTTGAGCATCCCATGGACTCCCAATTCTTATGAAAAAGTAAGAGAAAGAAGGGTGTGCACTGCTGACTCGGTGCCCAAGCGGGATGTCGTGTGCTTGCCATTTCCTAGAAAAGAAATAGCAAAGGAACTAATGAGCCAATAAGCTCAATGTTAGTTTTGTGGAATGGCTCAACCACTTTAGCTTCTATCATGAATCTCTAATGAAGGGTGCGCAGGCTCTGGGGAATAGATTCTATTTTTAAAAAGGAAAATAAAAGGGCTTCTTCAATGGCACCAAGCTTGTCTTGAGGTACACCGGCGCTCAGACAGGCATGCCTGGCGCTTCATTAGGGTGGTCTGAGCACCACCGGAAGCACAGAATGCCCGAGGGTGCCCTTGGGTTGAGTGCTGACCTTTCTTTCTTTCCTGCTTGCTTCCTAAGGTGTGTTATAGAAAAGGCAGCAGACGGGCAGCTGGCGTTCAAACTTACAATATCTGAGAACGAGACCATGTTTTATTATCGCACAGTAAATGGTTTGCAGCCTCCAATAAAAGTAATGACACTGGGGAGAATTCTTGTGAAGAAATGGATTCATCTTAGTGTGCAGGTGAGTAAAATAAAAAATATTTAACATTTGGTTAAACACAAGGATCTCTCTCCCTTTCTCTCCTTTAAATGGCATCAGGCCACAATACTGGAAGCAGTACCTCTGAGTTCAGGTGCATGTCAATGGCAGCTAAAGAATAAGAATATTTAAATGATCTAATGATGCTGCTCTTGATACCCTTGTATCCTACCCACCCCCTTTCAAAATCATAGCGAAAAGTACACAAAAGCTGACATAGAAAGATATTTAGAATAATCATGTGCTCAGGAAATGTTGTTTTATTTGATAGCTATATTTTATTTTGTTCATGGCAGTATTAAAACCACTGTCATTTAAAAATTTTTAAAAAGTTTTTAACAGTTGTCTTTTATCACATAGGATTCAATGATGTGAATCACAGTTGGCTGTTGCATTAAATTACTGACCTTAGAACTAATGAACTTTGCACTTGCAAGACTCAAAAGGTCTTATATTGTGACTTGACTTCTCAACCACAGTCTGTGTTAGCTGGAGCAGCTGCTAGCGGCCAGGGAGCTGTGAGATATCTGGCATTTACAGTCCCTGGGACAGAAGCAGAGTTTCTCTGTTGATTTCTTCCCTGGAGTGGCCCAGTGTGGCCCAAGGCAGCCCTTTCCTTTTATGAGAGGTGCAGGGAGTGATAGCTTGTGAAACCTTCAAATAGTGTTCCTTGCAAACCCCATGACCACAAGAAGGAAAGTGAACCCATATTTACTTTATATAAATTATTTATTTCAGAGATTTCCCCCTGAACCCATTAGTAGACAGGGATCCTCACAGAACCGTGAGATCTCTTCTTCTTTCTCATTGCCATTGAGTCAATGCCGACGCAGAGACGCCCCTCTCTGAGTTTCAGAGACTGTTTAAGGAGGTGGAAAGCCCCTGTTTTTCTCCCGTGTGATTTGTTAGTTCACCTTTATTTTACTTTCAGCATAGGTCCCAGATTTGAATTTACTTTGCACCTGTTTGATTTTTTTTGCCCGATTATAAGTATGCAATTCTGCTATACTTTGGCACAGCAGTGTATCAAGGAGGAAATGAAGAAATATAAGTATAAAAAGAACTACAAATGCAGAGAAGCATTGTGCAAGTGCAGTTGGCAGAGAGCGGGGTGTCCTGGCCACCAGGTTTGGAGTGTGCAGAAAGGTGCAGGGCTGTCTGGCTATGGCACTGAGGATGTTAATCCGCCAGTGCTTTCCTTCCGTTCGTTAGAAGCCAGCAGTTCTGGATCTCAACATCGTCCACTCCATCCATTAGCAAGCAGAGAAGAATTGAGTTAAAATGTTAGCAATGTAGAAATAGGAACAGCTAAGGAGAGGGAATCTGCAGAAGATGTCAAATTGATATATTTCGGCACGGTTTTATATCAACAATTATTTTAAAAAACCCTTTTTACCTGCCTTTTTGTTTTGCTGTTTCTGTGACGCTCTGCCATGTTTGGGCAGGCAGTAGTATATTAAAAGCATTATACAGAAAGTTTAAACTCTAAATGCAGAGAGGTAACCATTCCTGAATTACTCTCCAGGGAGGGAAATGCTCTTAGAGTGCCTATTGAAATCAGCATTATCATTTCCATACATGTCAAATATGAGTCATTTCTCAGTTTAGGCAAAATTCCTTTCTAAATCTTTAAATCTTCCTCTTCTTTCAAGAAAAGGTTAAGGTACTTATGATTTAATGAGATTGCTTTATATCACCACGGTTTGAATATCAAGAGAACACTGGTCCTTTCCATTTCATGTCATTTATGTATTTATTTATGCTATTATTTTATTATTCTATACTTTATATTAAAAATATAGAAATAAACAATCACAATATTTTTGAAAATCATTCAATTGAGCCACTTATTCAAGTAGCACTTGCTGAATGTTTTAAGGGTATTTAAATGCCCTGGTGGTGCTGTAGTGTTGGACTGCTAACCCCAAATTTGGTGGTTCAAATCTACTAGCCCCTTCATTGGAGAAAGAGGAGACTGTCTGCTCCCATCAAGATTGGCAGGCGTGGAAACCCTCTCTAAAGTGGTTATGGCAGAATCGACTCCAAGTCAATTCCAATGCATAGTGATCCTACTAGGGCTTCCAAAGCTACATGTCTTTACCTCATCTTTCTCCCCAGGAGCTGCTGGTGGGTTTGAACTGTCGATCATGTGGTTAATAGGCTACTGCTTATACTACAGGCATCTACATAGGATCACTTTAAATTGGACACCTGTCTGAATCCATTAGAAAGTTCACGAAATCAATAACAATTGATATAACAGGTGTTTTATCAAGAAGGTGCAAATTATTTAGGAGTTGTAAGTAAGTAGAATTTGTAACCGGGAAGAGCAAGAGGCGCAGAGTTGGGGAATCCGAGTGAAGTAGCGCTGTTCTGTTGTGAGGAATTCACTGGGTCCACTTTTCCCATCTCCATGAGAGGAGGACAATGAGTCTCCATACAGGCGTAAGGGGACACTGGCAACTGGAAAGATTTGATGGGAAAAGAAGGGCGAGAATGCTTGCACAGTGGGATGCATGCAATCAATCACTGTGGCTCCCTTGCGCACACGGAAGCAATGGCGCCTGCTAAGTCAAGGGGATGTGGAGAAAAGTACAAAGTTACTGGACTATGAAAAGCAGATGAGTGGTGTAGAGAGCTACCCGATTAATGGGAGACCTGGACCCCAGGCTTATTATTATTTATTTTCTGCTCCTTCAGCATGATGTCTGGTACTTATTCAGGAACGAAAAAAAATGTAGGTTTTATGGCCAACATATGGATAAATGCAGCTTGTTACTTTCATTGTATAACTACCGGCAGGTAACTGACTTCCGTATGAAATGTTACTTATTAATTGGTGTGTTATTCCATAGTGCCTACCATGCTTCATTCTGAGCATGGAGATGCATTTTTATCACGCAACCTTGGGTTGCAGTAGGCAGCATGCTGAGTACTGACCACAGGAGAACTCACGGGTTCTGGGGGGCATGTGTTTACATGCTCAGCTGCTAAGCCAACGGGTGGTGGTTTGAACCAACCCAGCCACTTCCCAGGAGAAAAGACCTGGTGACCTGCTCTCCTAAAGACTTCAACCTGAACCTCCATGGGGGTCTCTTTAGTCCGTCATACAGGTTCACTCAACATCAGTCTCAGAGAACCCTACTAACTGAAAGGCAAGGCAGCTTGCTTCCAGAAAGAATTGCCACCTCGGAGATGCCGTGCCGCTGTTCTACTCGGCCCTGTTAGAGCACCAGGAGTCACAATGAGCTCGAGGTCCCCCAGCAGCAGCAACGACAACAGCAGCAACACCAATAATGCTAGGTAGGGGATGGGATATGTTAGGTAGGGGATGGGATATGCTAGGTAGGGGATGGGATATGTTAGGTAGGCGATGGAATATGCTAGGTAGGGGATGGGATATGCTGGGTAGGGGATGGGATATGCTAGGTAGGGGATGGAATATGCTAGGTAGGGGATGGAATATGCTAGGTAGGGGAT